GGGCGCCCCCCCCCCCCCCCCCCCCGAGGATGACATAGTTGACAGAACGAGTTTGCAACAAATAGTTTTGACGTTACATTTGACACAGTGTTCATGTTTCAGTGTCATGATTTGTAGGAATAGAAATCGTCGCAGCGCAACACTCCAGTCTCATCGCAGAAGCTGTAAGGCGTTGTTTATTCATTGTTCGTCGCACATGCACACTTAGGCATCCTACACCCACACCTAATATCTCTTCTAGTTTTTTTGATTCTCCATTTCTTAACGCGTTAAACAACACATTACTCAAATGACAGTTTTGGGAGATGTGGAGGTTAGTGAAGTAGTCGTACCCGGGAGCTTTAAAACAGTAAAAAATTTTCCACTTGTAAATCAGTCCCGAAGAGTGGTCAATCGCTTACGAGAGGTTCAAATTATGTAGAGCGTTTTTACTCACGTGGCCAGCATCTATGCAAATTTATTGGAACAAAAGAAATCGTTTACATAAGAGAAGATGGCCGCCGTTTCATTGTTTTGGAATACCAATATGGCCGCCGTGACGTCATGTGAAAACGCTCTATAGCCTGCAGTGCAAGCGTTTGCCAGGGGGGTGGTGTACGCGAACACTAGAATACGCGCGAGTTTTGGTGTGTGCGAGACACTTCACCTCTTAGCCACCCTGCTGACTGACCTATTGACCGATGGCGCCATCGAGCGCAATTTCTGCTCTCCCTGTCCGCTCCATCTGCTTTCAAAATCAAAGATGGCAACTAAAGGCAGGCTCAAATACTGACCGCTCGCTCGCCCGAACACATAGACTTGCACCATAGTGATCACACGGTCCCAATATCAAGACACATTGTCAAATTGTTCCAAATGGCCTCCATAAACATCTTATATGATAAGTTGGTAGAAGTTCATTGTCTTGAATCTTATTTCTTTATTCTCTTAACTTTATACTTGTCTCATGTGGGGCTTAATGGGATAGAATTGTCAGAGGCAGACGATACTACAACTCACTTGATTTCTTCTCCAGGATTCAAGTTTGGTCTTTCTGATTGCTGCTTAATTCTTTCGACTTGAATACCATACATCAACCGTCGACCGAGTGAAACATCCTTTATTGGCCATACGAACAACACTCGAACTCGTTTGAAGGACCTTTGAATCGCACCAAAACAAACTGACTCATCAGACATGTCAATGATAAGACAACCAAGCCAACAATGGCTTGTCCAAGTTTGTGATGTTATTTTTTTCCTGACGAGAATAAATTTACTTGATAAACGAAGTTCGAGTTTCTTTCTCTTTTCCTTTTTAACACAATGCCTCGACTTCACGTTTGTCATTACTAACATAAGCAGTGACCGCGCTCTCTGTAAGAAGGTCAGTAAGTCAGAGAGTAACTTTATAGTGAGATTTTTGAACGGTTGACTCGATTTTTTCCTTCCCTATGTTTGGTACGCGTGATGTACGTTAGGTGCGCATGTGAACAAGGCATATCAGCGTATTTTATTGCTCACACTCTCGTATAAACAAAATGGTCGAGAACCAAGAACCGTTCGCACCAGAACTTTTGCGACTTTACCAGTAAGGACAGCTTGCGTAAAGCAGCCCTTACGTCAATTCCTTTCACGTGAAGCGAATTAGAGTAATATGAGACGTCTAGGC